GGGAAAAATCTATAATGCCCTCCTTGCTGTAATGAAATAGTTTGTACACAAAATCCAGTAACATTTACCATTGTTCCTTATGGATGCATGGAATATCGTATGTTAGTATCAAATATGGGTAGAGTTTCATTTCTCTAATGATGAATGTTGAGTTGTCTATAAAAGCCAAAGAAGAAATTGAAAGGTCATCTCAGGAATGGCAAATTTAGGGTTTCAGTTTAGAGAGTCAAGTTTAATTTATCATGAAACACTTTAATAGCACTTTAGCTCTATTTCTTATTGCACACCATGTCATACATCCTCAGTTCCCAGTTCAGTGGAGAGACTGGCCTTTTGACCCCACATCCAAAAACACCCAGATTCTGGAGTGTTTGCAATTAAGATCAAAATTGTCAGATTGAGCAAATCTCAGATTCACAGCGAAAAAGGTTCATTAAAATTTCTTGCGGCATGGAGATGTGTGTGCTAGTCGATTCTAATCCTCACCCCCGCTGGTTCTGTCAGCTGGGTTGCTAGGGTGGCCTGAAACTTCACCTTTTAAGGATCACGTCATCGAAGCATGCTCTGAGCAGGTGTACACACTGTACAGCATTTAAACGCCCATACTTGCTAGTGCCCTGTTTACACTAGCGCTCCCACCCTTGCTAGCACTGATGGACCTGAAACGGGGACAGCCAATGTTGGAAATTTTTGAGACAATTTCCCCATGTGGACAAGCCCTATGAGTTCACAAAGTGAAACTCAGAGATAATCATACTTTCCCTGTGTGCTGGTGCAGCTTCCTTCCTTCACAAAGATATAATCCTTGCATAGGCTCACTAGGGCAGCTTCGCTATCTGAAAGCGGAAGCAACAATGACGGGGGCACCAGAAAGATGTACAACCCACCTACCATGGGTTTATTTTGGCTTTGTTTGCTTCTGAACAGCTTATCAGTGTTTCTTATAAGATAGCATGAAGATCAGAGTTGCAGCATGCAAGCTACTCCTTTAAAAAAAACTTCTTAGTGTTTCTCCAGCAGCTTGCACCCAAGGATCTCAAATACTGTTATAAACATTAATAAATTAGGTCTCACACCCTCACTCTGAGGCAGGGGATTGCATTATCCCTCTCGTTGTTTCCTGGTGCTCTCCTGTCTGTCTGTTTTGTCTCCACCTGTTGGCTCTTGTCTTAGGCCACATCTACACTACCTACCAGATTGGCAGGTAGTGATCGATCTATCAGTAATCAGGGATTGATTTATCACATCTAGTGTAAACACGATAAATCGATCCACGATCGCTCTGCTGTCGACTCCGGAACTCCACCACGGCGAGAGGCGGAAGCGGAGTCTACGGGGGAGTGGTGGCCGTCGATCCCGCGCCTCGAGGACGCAAAGTAAGTGTTTCTAAGTTGATTTAAGATACATCGACTTCAGCTATGCTATTCTCGTAGCTGAAGTTGCGTATCTTAGATTGATTCCCCCCCCCCACAGTGTAGTACAGGCCTTAGATTTATACTATCTTGGGGGCAGGGACTATCCTTTTGTTTTATGTTTGTACAGCACCTAGCACAATAGGGTCCCGGTCCATGACTGGGGCTTGTAGGTTCTCCAGTAATGAATGTAATTATTAATACTACTAATAATCCCCATTTTATAGATAAGGAAACTGAAGTACAGAGGCCCCGATTATCAGAGGTGCTGAGCACCTGCAGCTCCCACTGGTTTCAAATAGCTGGGAACAGAACCATCTTTCACCTTCAGTGCCTTAACCACAAGAGTCCTATCCTTCCTCTCTTCTTGGACTGATATTCCCTACATCCTGCTATTTGGAAGGTACCCATCTGGCAAAAATTAAGGCATTTGCTGAAACAGATCAAAATTAATCTCAACATCATTTGCTTGGGGTTAGCTATGAAGATATGAGCTATATTTTTGCTCTGTTATCAAAAAGACTTCCTTTGCGCCGTCAGTTTGTAAAAATGGTGCTCTGGCTGTATTGGAAAGATTTTCAATCCCATCACATTCTGTTGTTTGGAAGACACCTAATGTTCCACTACCCACACACAGTCTCCATTAACTGTGTCTCATATTTTCTCTCTGGTAGTACGTCCATGCAATGCCACCCAGATAGCATTACATGGCGTTCCACAATCTGATGGATGGGGATCATTCCAGGTTGAAAACATCAATCTCAGACTGATTTTAGGTCTTTATTCTTCTTAGAGTAGATGCCCTTAGATTTCATGTGGTCAGAACTCTTGTTTATTTCACTTTCTAACATCCATTTTGGTCACAAATTTCTCTGGAAGTCCTATGGAAATAGCAGGAGGGATTTCAGATGCTGCTTCAAAATGGCATTGAGAGGAGCCATTGACCCTCTTTAGTCTCTGCAAAACAGCTAGCAGTGCTATGCTACCAAACATACTCTCATGCACCCCAACAATTCACTGACATTGACGGAACAATGGCAGCACAGCAGGGAAAGAATCAACACACAGGCCTAATCAGAAAAAAAGTGAACCAAGAAATTGCTCTGACTGACATTAAAAGTTCCAAGGAAGGATTGGTGGCCCACAGACCGCTGGTCTCTCCACTAAATAGCAACACACTTTCTGATGGTGTGTGGAGCAACTGAGGCTGACCGCACTTTTTATTTTTAATTACGTCTATATTGGGCAATTACTGGCCCTAGCCTTCATTTCCCCCCCAAAAAAAGACAATTATCATTAATCAGACATGTTGTATTAAAATTATACACTGTGCAAGAGACCCAAGCCCAATTACTCCTATGAGACCTTGGGAACATCACTTAATCGTTCCATGCCTCAGTTTACCTACCCATAAAATGGGAACAACACTATTTGCCTTATCTTCCGAGGGCATTTCAAAGCTCAGTTAAAAGGGACAGATTCCGCCTCTTTTGTTCAGGAGTCCCTTACTCCTCAACTAGTCCTACTGAAATCAACACGAGCACAAGTGGCAGAATCCGGCCCTCCACATTTGTAAAGTGCTTTGTGATCCTTGGATGAAAGGGGCTGTATTCTGTTAGACTTCATTATTATTATTCCTATGTAGTGCATTGTTTAAAATATAAAAGTCAAGTCTCTTGTAGGATAAGTTATACAAAACTAGACAACTTGTAAAAATAATATGGGTCCTTTTTCTGAGAACAAGAGAAAATGTAGTATAGTGCATGTACTGCTTAGAGAGTGGGCTAAGCTGCGTTCATGCATATGTATTCAGAACAGCAACAAGGCTCCTCTCTGGGAAAAGAGGTAACGAACAACAGCAGAATGCATTTGTTTGCATTCCGCCCCGGTAAATATGGTAGTCTGGATTTGTGCTACCTTGCTTAAAACCATTACCAGGGCTTCTCAAACTTCACTCCTTCTGACTACAAAAATTACTACACAACCCCAGGAGGGGGGACCGAAGCCTGAGCCCTTCCACTCTGGGGGAGGGGACAAAGCCCAACCCACAGTTTGAGAACCGCTGCATTAGACCATGCTGAACATATTTTCTGAGGTCAGGTATACTTTGACTCAGAAACCAAAGGGTTGCTGATTCTGATTTTGACATGCCATTATGAACACACAGTCAGGAGAGGTCAGCAAAGATGGTAAGGTTGACCCGAGGAAAACTAAAAATCCCTGCGCAACTATCATTATTTTCATTCTAGCAACACTGCGAGGTTTCGGTGGTAGGCACTGTAAAAACGTATAACAGGCTGTACGCTTGTAGAGGCAGGGACTCCCTAAGGGCTTGTCTATGCAGTGGGGTAATGCACATTACAGGGGTGTGATTCCTAAAGCGCACTAATGTGCAGCACATTAATTGGTCCATGTAGACCCCGCTGGAGCACACTAAACAGTTTCAAACAGTACTACGTTAAAGTGCACTAGGGAACCTCTAGTGCACTCCAGCGGGGTCTATACGGACCAATCAATGTGCAATTCAGCTGACTTGGGCTCACAGGGCTCAGGCTGTGGGGCTAACAATTGCAGTGCAGACATTCAGGCTGGGGCTGGAGCACAGGCTCAGAGACCCTCCATCTTTGTGGGGTCTCAGAGCCTGGGATCCAATCTGAGCCCAAACATCTACATTGCAATTTTATAGCGACTCAGCATGAACCTTGCAAGCTCGAGTCAGCTGACTCAGGCCAGCTGCAGCCATGCCGGGGGTCTTTTATCTATACAGACATACCCTCAGTGCCTTACAGAATCAGTCTCTTAGTCAAGAAAATGTATATCAATATGATACAAGTTTTGGATCAAGAACAATATCAAGTTAGTTGGATTAGAAAAAGCATTGTGCAAAAGTGGAAATAATTTTTTGTGAAATTTCTCATGAAACTATTTTCCAATTCATTTCAGGACTTTTCACATGCCTGAAATTTCACTTTTCTATGGAGGAGCTATTTTCACATTGAAAACGTAGAAAATTATGATTTTGTTGTTGTTTTGCACTTAAAATTGTTCTCTCTAAGGAAAAGGTTGAAATTATAGGTATGCAATATATATGCAACAATATAGGAGATTAAAAGTAACTTTCTTTTGCATTTCAATATGAATACAAAAATCATCCTATTTTTACAAAAAAATACACGATTCATGTTTTTTTCAAGGAAGATGGACTCATTTTGTACTAGATTTGCAATAGAAAAAATTCAGTTTCAAATATATCTATGATAGTATTTAGCTTTTAAAAAATGAAATACAATTAGCATTAGAAAATTGCAACAATATACCTAAATGTCATCTTTGTACTCCTCTGGGCCCTGCATAACAAGGTGGCCTTGATTTACCATTTATTTATTGGAGCCTGAAAATTAAGGGCCTATCGCAGATATTTATGCCTACGAGTAACTTTACTTTATATGATTAGCTCCATGGAATGGCTTTACTCATGTGAACTTTAGTGGGATTACTCATATGAGTACAGATACTCATAATGTGTGACATATTTTTAAGACTAAGACTATACATTTCATCAGGGAAACACTGCAAAATCTGCCTTACCTGACGTCTTCTCAGTGAATACAACTTTAGACTCTGCTGTGAAATTCTGACCAGACAGGATCATCTGCTGTCCGCCGTAAACTAGGCAGCTCTCAATATCTTGTCTTTCAACCATTGGAAGCTCATGAGCAGATCTTTGGGCTGTGGACAAAATGCAGACATGAATGAAATCAAATATGGTTTACCAGGACTTTCCAGATCTTCACAGAACTATCCACGGATTGATCTTGTCATCGTTACCATCCTCTTGCTGCCAAAGGAGCTTCTCTAAGATGCTAAATTTAGGTTAAAAAGGAAAAATAAGCTTACTCAAGACCTTTTATTTGGAATCATTCAGGAGCTGGCTCCAAAGCTGTAGCTGTGCTGGCCTTACTCCTTGTCCTTGACAAAGGACAACTTGGATGAATGAGCTGGAGCGTGCCCATGTCTGTTTCCAAATAAATGGCCAAATTTTAAATGCTCACACACTACAATCCTGGAGCCTTAACATTCCACCTGCAAGAAGGATTCCACTGAACAACACTGAATTCCTTTTTAAGAGAACCAATGCAAAACTCCACGCCTGTCCAGCAGGACAGACAACATGAAAAGGCTTCAGAACAATCCGTTCAAAAATGCACAACTGCTGTGTACACAAAGCGCTGAGAGAGAGTTATGAAGCACATGAGGCTCTTCTACAGAAATGTAATATAGCATCTTCCAGATCATAATCACTGATTAACATGAGTTAGAACAATTCATACGGGCAGGAAAAAAGCTTCTAGGAATCACATCTCCATCCACATTAACCTGTTTCCTCAAGCAAGCCTGCTTGTTCACAAGCAGCAGAATCTGAAAAAAAGCCATGATCCAAGAGTCCTTCCCCAGAATAGACATCTGGAAAGGATCAAACACCATCCTGGGACCAGGCCCGGTGTTTAGCCCAAATGTATTTCTGTGCGCAATATTGCAATTGATGCTATGGAGGCTGGGTACAGGCTCAGCTGACAAACTCCACCTCCAATCCCAGAATACACTTTATGCTTATTTTAAAAATTTAGTCTGGTATTTATCACTGTAACTGTGTCATTGTAGATTTTTTTGTTTTGTTTTGCTTTGAATGTAGGACAATCGTTTGCCTTATTGTGCCCATCAAATGTATTATGACAGCTGGACTAAGAAGATGCCAATTAAGAGTATCTTTGCAGATAACTTTCACAGAAGCTGTTAATTTCTTCCACATGACTGTATGATTAATCCCTCTTTTTAAATACTCAAGTTTTGATGAGTTCATAATTGGATTTATCACAAAGACAGATTTATAGCCCTGAAAGCTTAAGAGTAAATAATATTCATCAAAAACCCATCTACTGCATTTTAAGGAGGACACACTTAAACTTCACCTGGGTTTGAATGTCCTCTCATTCAATCCAGTGTCATGTCAGAATGAAGGTGTGATGTTTCTTTATAGGGTCACTATGGGCCTAATTTTCAATGGAGCACAGCACGCACTGCAGCGTCCATTGATTTCAGTGAGTGAGGCAGGAAGCCTTAAATCCAGTTTCCTGAAGGGCACATGCTTCCTCCTGCTTCTGGACCCTGCTTTTCCTTTTAAAGGGGCCCACAGAGGGGAACAGATGCACTGGGAGGTGTGCATGCATTCCAAGCCCTAGTGTTCCTTTATGGGCACCTTTAATTCTAAAAGTACTTTTCACACTGGCCCATGCGACTATGTATTCAAAATCCACACTTGATTTGCCCCTGTAGGTTCAGCAACCGTGTGGCCAAATCTTGCAACTGTATACACATATCGGCAATTACAGTCATTTGCCTGCATAATTACCAATGTGAGCATGCAGCGATCATAACTACATGTATAAATTAGGCCCACGGTTGCAAGTGAATTTTGCGCATGCAACTGCACCTCTTGTTCCCCTGAAAATTGTGCTTGTATATTGGGATCATTTTGCCCATCATTGAAAGGCAGCCATTTCTGGGGGTAAGAATGGTGACAACTCCCCTCCCTCCCCCCGAAATACTAGATGACACTTTAGGACAGTGAAACATTCCATATCTAATTAATATGTCAGGATTGGAGGATTAAAAATATCAGTCCTAAGAATTTCAATCACAGGGTTTGGTTTTTCTCCTTGAGGCTGGCATAAGGTTAATGGAAGCACATGGGGAAGAGGTGAGGTCATGGTGCATAACATGGTTTATTCAGATGACATTTACCTATATGCATCCAGCTGCCTTTAAGTTGTTTGCAAATTCAATATTCTATTATTAATTATTATTATTTACTATTATTTTTAATGTATTATTTTCTCCCTGAGCCACAATTGTAACAGAACTGACAAAGAAATTAGGATCTTAACATATGCCATGTTTTCACTTGTAAGAGGACAGAAGATTCACTGGTGTGTTGCTTCCGCAGGATTATTTTGTTTTCCTTTGCAAGGAATATTAATCACCAGTAAATCCTCTTCCTCTAAAGTTCAGGAGGGATGGCCTGTATGCAATAATTTCACATTATTTCTTCTTCTCCCCCAGAGGTCGGCACTTCATAAAGTGACCTCCAGCTACTGTAGTTTATGAGCTTGAATAAATAAAACACTGTTGATTTAGCCAGTTGGGGTGTTTACTTTCAATAGCAACTGTTACTGACATAAGGCAGCAAAGCAAATGTTAAAGAAATACTCGCACTTGGCCTAAAGCAGCATGTCAACCTATTAAAGTCTGCACTATTTTTCTATTTTATTTGACTGTCTGCAAATCAAGATGTCATGGATCCTCAGTGCCAAGAAATACAATACGCCCAGCGACATGAGAGAAAAAGGGAACTGCTGTCTGGGGGGGCTGTGGTGTGCCTCTGCAAGCCCCAGCCTCACAAAAGGGGAGGAGGAAGGGAAAGGGGGAAGCAAATCGCTCCACATGCCACGCTTCAGACGTGCAGAGCACACGACAGGCAGAATGTGTTCTGGCAGGAAGGGAGGTAGCTCCTACATCTTTCTGGTAGTGCAGCATGCTTTCCTCATTCACATTCATAGATCCAAGGCCAGAAGGGGCCATTGGGATCATCTAGTCTGATCTCCTACATAACACAGGCCAGAGAACTGCCCCCAAACAATTCCTAGAGCAGATCTTTTTAAAAAGCATCCAACCTTGATGCCAGATAATGAGGAAGAGGGTGAGTCCATGCCTCCCTTAGCACTTTGGGGTGGCTAGCAATGCCAGAAGGATTTATGCTGGACTTAGGGTGCTTGAGGATTGGGATTGTGTCTGATCCCTGTGCAGGTGTGCATGGGTTCGGGGAAGCTCCTAGTACCTGCTCGCTTTTCCCTTCCTCCTCTGTCCAGCTGCACAGAGCCAGCTATCATCTGCTCCTCACAAGTTCCCTGCAGAAGAGCTGATGGTTCCTTGTATGAAGAAGTTGGAAGACAGCAAGTGGCTCAGAGACCTGATTGGAGACAATCAGCCCTTGAGATAAGCACCACTGTTGGCCCAATCCTGCCCAAAGGGAGTGTTGTTAATGGCTGTGTAGCAGGCAGCGGTGGGATCCAAGTGACAAACTCTAGTAACGGCCTTACAAGCATTATTTTAAAAAATCACTGACCTTTCCAGCTTCACCTGAGACCCGCCTCCCCCATCACCCCAAGAGGTGCCACTCTTCTCTTCCACTTTCACCCTGCAATGCGTCACTTTGGATAAGCAGATCTAGTCCTGCTTTGGGGTCATGCTTCCTTCCATTGGCTGGGAGGGCTGCCAAGCATTGCTCTGAAACCAATACGTCTGAAACCAATACGTCTGAAACCAATACGTCTCAGGGAGACATTTCCACTTTGGTGAAACAACATATTTAGTTGAAATTTCATTTAGCCAAAGATCTTCTGACCAGCTCTCGTACTGACTCATTCTATGACTAAACTTCATTGAGTCCAACGCTTGCCTGAGTCCCCAGAGAGGAACTTCTTAGGCATTCTTTGTGTGTTTCTGCGTGTGCATGGTGCGTGTAAAAGGAGCAGTGGGGTGGAATGGGAGATGTGAAGAAAACCACTAAATTGATCTGCCTCTTGGTAGAAGTAGACTCGTGGGCTCACCGTGGGGAGCACCAATCCAGCCATCACATAATGAACAGATGCTCTGCTATGTACACAGACATGGCTGGATCCTGTCCCCTTTTCTCAGGGGACAAGAGCATTTTCAAAAACTAAATAACCAGGATTAACATATATATATGCTACCTTCACTATGATGCTTTTACATCATCAGGAATTACTCACATTGATAGGAATGTTAAAAGGTAGGATTTGATCCTAAGTCTATTGAAATCAAGAAAGGGCTCCCATTGACTTTGTTTGGCTCTGGATCAGTGGCTTATTTCTATTCTATATTGACTCTTATGTTGCCCTCATCACTGTGTTATCTCGGCATCTTAATCTCTGGGGCCTGTTCCAGTCTAGTTGCTATAATTCCTCTAAGAGCTTTACCCTGACCTCCAAGAACACTTATGAAGAGAGAGTCCAAAGAACAGGGATGGACTCAGTTATGTACCCAAATTTCAAACTCCTGCAAAGTTCAGGTTGTTTGGTCCCAGAGTTTTGGTTTGACCTATTATCATAAGGTCAGCTGCAAAATTCTGATCTGGTGCTTGGTTTGCATTTTGATCCCTCTCCAACTCAAAGGTTAACGGTTTTTCAAATCAAGGTTGTTAGCTTGTGGTCATCCCTACCTGAAAGTTGAAAGGATTAGAGGCAGGATGTCTAATGAGGAAAGTCTGAAATGATGATCTATGCATGGCTCAAATCAAAGACAGTAGGATAGTACTGGAAAGGAATGGCTGAACCTTACAGGATTTAGAATAGAGGCTTAGTATGTAAAAGCATCCAAAAGCACCTGGAAGCTAAAAGTGCAAAAGCTTTAGATAAACAGTTCAGAAGCTCAAAAGAAGTTTGGCTGAGTTTTGGATGAAGGTTCAGATGTTCACTCTTATTTTACCTGACCTGGTTTGCCCAATCCGTAGGGCTTTGCAGGGAACCAAAAGTAAGAAGAGAGATTATTTGGATTGGTCAAAAGGGACAAGGAGGCAGCGATGAATGGAAGTAACGAGGACACTGAAAACTGAAAGCGAGATGGTTACGGGGAAACATTGCTACCACAGC